CAGCTGAGGTGCTTGGCTTTGTTGTTTGCACCGGGGACCATGGCTGCTCTTTCTTGGGATTCTGTTTAATCTAATACCAGACCTGGACGATAGCCCGGCTCGCAATCTCGATGGCTCTCGCCAGCAAAACTTGCGCAAAGTTGAACGTCTTGTAGTAGGAACGTCGTAGTTGCCTCAAGCTTGCATGCAGCTTAGTTTGCCTCCTAATTTTTCCTGAACTTTTATTTAAAGGAGTAAATGGAGCCAATAGGTCTAGACAATAGTGCAGTTCGCCATAAAATATTGCGGACGATTGCTCCAGGGAGTCGGACAGAAAAAACTGTTCCCAGTTCCTTGCTCGAATAATCGTGGCAAATGTGGGCCAGTCTATGGAGCTTATCGGCCGGTATATCTCAATGGCTTCTGATGTACTCGTACAGATTGCCGGGATGGTTGCAAACAGCGAGCAGTAAACCACTCTGTGGTTGCTCGCCGGAAACTCTAGGCCTACAGATGCACGTATATTGGATATACTCAGTGTAAATATCAGGTCTAACAGGTGTTTCGACCTGGTCGGCGTTGATAGATGCTGCACCCATTCTCCCAAGTTGATGCAGGCTATTGGGCTATTGCCCACTATACTTCGCTGGGGCAGTGGGTGGAAACCACTGGATTTCAGGAAGATTGAAGTCGCCCGCCACAAGCTTGCATGCACATGGATGGCTCGCAGCTAGTTCAAAAGTAGTTATTAGCGCTTTGTCGACTCACAGGTGAAGTATCACGGAGCCCTGTAAAGGCATCCACGTTAGTAAGCTTGGGTACCCCCATGGCCACACCCGTTTATCCAAAATGAGGTCCAAATTATTTCGGTGTAATATCTAGGACTTTCGCGATATTCGCAGAAGGAAATAATTGGCAGCCGACTAAATGGCACAACCACTCACCACGTTAGAGTGAGACGCGAATGTGGTATAACTAGCTGGTAGCCTAGAAAGAAAAAGGACTCATCGAACGAAAAGGCACCCCACCCAAGAAACCCTTGTTATTCTGTAAGGCATCAGGTCTAGCGCAAGGCTATCAAAAGAGCGTAGAATGTGCATTTCTTGTTGTTCAGCGAACCTGGCCAACATCTCCACCCATTCTCCCTATTCCCCTAATACACCCCTAAAACATTTCATCCCACCCTTCTCCCTCCTCCTACCATTTCCCACATTCACCAACTAACACCCAAATACCCCCCCCCCCCAACCAACCAACCAAACCAAAAAAACCCTACAAAAAAACAAACAACAACACACCCAACCCCCCACCAAACCCCCCCCAAACACCACAACACCACCCACCAAACCCTCACCCCACCCCCACCCCCCCCCCCCCCCCCCACCCCCCCCCCCCCCCCCCCCCCCCCCCCCCCCCCCCCCCCCCCCCCCCCCCCCCCCCCCCCCCCCCCCCCCCCCCCCCCCCCCCCCCCCCCCCCCCCCCCCCCCCCCCCCCCCCCCCCCCCCCCCCCCCCCCCCCCCCCCCCCCCCCCCCCCCCCCCCCCCCCCCCCCCCCCCCCCCCCCCCCCCCCCCCCCCCCCCCCCCCCCCCCCCCCCCCCCCCCCCCCCCCCCCCCCCCCCCCCCCCCCCCCCCCCCCCCCCCCCCCCCCCCCCCCCCCCCCCCCCCCCCCCCCCCCCCCCCCCCCCCCCCCCCCCCCCCCCCCCCCCCCCCCCCCCCCCCCCCACCCCCCCCCCCCCCCCCCCCCCCCCCCCCCCCCCCCCCCCCCCCCCCACCCCCCCCCCCCCCCCCCCCCCCCCCCCCACCCCCCCCCCCCCCCCCCCCCCCCCCCCCCCACCCCCCCACCCCCCCCCCCCCCCCCCCCCCCCCCCCCCCCCCCCCCCCCCCCCCACACCCCCCCCCCCCCCCCCCCCCCCCCCCCCCCCCCCCCCCCCCCCCCCCCCCCCCCCCCCCCCCCCCCCCCCCCCCCCCCCCCCCCCCCCCCCCCCCCCCCCCCCCCCCCCCCCCCCCCCCCCCCCCCCCCCCCCCCCCCCCCCCCCCCCCCCCCCCCCCCCCCCCCCCCCCCCCCCCCCCCCCCCCCCCCCCCCCACCCACACACCCCCCCCCCCCCCCCCCCCCCCCCCCCCCCCCCCCCCCCCCCCCCCCCCCCCCCCCCCCACACACAAAAACACCCCCCCCCCCCCCCCCCCCCCCCCCAACCCCCAAAAAAAACCCCCCCAAAAAAAACCCCCCCCCCCCCCCCCCCCCCCCCCAATATATTAATACCCCCTCCCCCCACCCCCCCCCCCCCCCCCCCCCCCCCCCCCACCCCCCCCCCCCCCCCCCCCCCCCCCCCCCCCCCCCCCCCCCCCCCCCCCCCCCCCCCCCCCCCCCCCCCCCCCCCCCCCCCCCCCCCTTTTCTGGCGGTAACAACCGGTGGGATAAGGTAGGTACTCCAGAGTCTGGACTATCTGGAACGTGGTGAGAAGAACCTTGAATACTATTGGGTGCTGTACTAGCTGCGGAAGTTCGGTGTGTGGATATGGGACGTGTGATTGGTTCCCTGTTACCGTGGGCTATTTTCATTACCGCTAGCCATCGCGGTTTGAGAAAGCGTTGACCCATCCTGGTTGCACTGCGTAGTTGTTCAAAGTTTGTTACGACGGTATTTAAAGTTGCTTCATCCTTAAAATATATTTTGATGGGTGCAGGGAATTTACTGCTTCTTTTAGGTAGTCTCTCAACACGTACCGAACGTGTTGCTAAACCAAATACTGCAGGGATAGCTCTCGTAAATGCATCCAAAGAAAGATCCTTAGGTACGTTAAGTAACTGGGTAGTATACGGCCAAATACCCCCTTCGGATGTCGGCTGGGGGGATGCCTCACAATTTGCTGTTTCATGGGTGTGTGAGGTTTGGGTAACTGCCTTCGGTGATTTTTTCGGTGTCTTCCTTACGCGGGGCCGTTTGGCTCTGGGTGCCATCGTCGCTTTAAGTGGAAATTTTGGTTCACGCTCACGTGTGTGTGGCTTCTGAGACGAGAATAAAACGGGAACCTGTTGATCACTATGGGTGTGAGAAACCCGATCTCCAGGCTCGAAGTGGGATGGGCCCCCACGTCGGTTCACCCTCAGTCGCCCAAAATATAGCTGTTTCAGCTCTGCACTATTACGCAGCTCTTTACAACTTGTCATTATACTTCGGAGAGTTGATTCGTCCCTAGTACTTAATTCCAGTGGTGCCGCGAATTTACTTATTCTTTTTTTCAGTCACACAGCCTCCAGTGGGTTTCTTTGGATTCCATTAACCTCTAGAATCCAGCTCCTGAACACTTCCAAGGATGTGTCATCAGGAACGTTAAATGCAATAGTACTAAACGTAGCATTTCTTCCTTTGGTACCCGTGTGCAGTGCGCCTTCCGGCTTGGCTGTTTCTGACGCAGAAATGAATGGTATGGCCGTAGCAGGCGAGCAGTATGGTGTATTTTGCTCGCGAGGCCGTTTAGTTGGAGGAGCCGGCGTGCGTCAGTTCCAGACAGGTGATATACTAGATGCTCGCCGACCAAATTGGGGTACTTCGGGTGGCGAGGCGCAGCTTGCTGCGTTGATCGTCTTTGAGAATGATGCCTCTGCGACTTGTCCTCCTGGTCCATTGGGACGATCTGTACAACCGATTGGAAACTCGGATGTAAGCGAACAAGTCCCGGGTTTCTTCTCAGGACAACTACTTCTCTCCCAAAAACGCTTGGGGTCATGGGTATCCATCACCTCCAGTTTTAGCGTTGCTGCCACCGAGCAATAGTTTTGTACCATTTGCTTGATCTCACCCTGAGCTACATCCTCTGTGACATCTAAATCAACTATGTGGGAGGCCTCCGGGGTGACAAAATCCTGCAGAGGATCAGAAGATATTCCAGGAGTCCGCTCATCAGTAGGCTTGGATGCAGAAAGCTTTTCGTAACGGCGTTGCATGGCTGTCTTTGCGTTCACTAATTTAGCTGGACGAAGGTTGTGCGCGACCGGGAGTCTTTTTGGTATGACAGGAATTTACGGGCCGAACGCTCTGTATCAAACCTGAATAGCACGGGCCATTGGTTTTTAATAGCCCATTTCCTCAGTCTGGTGCAACTGATTAAATTACCTTCTAGACCGCAGATACCCATCAGTACCTTCTTGATGGTGTGAACTTTTAAACGGTTAGGTACATTATAGATCACTACCTCCGTGGGGCATTTTATCCGGTCCATGACCTCAGTACTAATAGCATTGAGGAAACGCATGGAAGTCTCGGAGCACTTTTCATCCATTACATTGCCAGGGTGAACTAGGCTTGTAATAGCCACTAAACGCTTAGCTATTGGTTGTAAGCTGTTAAAGGTCACTTTCATACTCGCCAACTCTTCTTGCAGCTGCGCGATTTCTCGGCGCACAGAAGAAAATACGTCCATCACCCTAACGGAGCACAACATTGTCACCTTGGTCGCTGTATTGCCCCCATTTTACTCTCTTTGTTTACACGCGGCTAGTAGATATTCCTTTTTTACCGCAAGCATTTGAGACCAAGTTAGAGAGTTAGCCACGAAGGAGGATAGTAATGGAAAGGGGAGAAGTAACAAATAACGTACAACGATGTTGCCAAGGAAAATACCAGACGGCGGAAGTCTGATGAATATCAGAGTAGATATAAAAGATTTCTAGTAGGCGGATGGTAGACTGTACCAGACGTATAACTCCCACAAAGATACAACCAGTCGAGAGAGAAACGAACCAACCTGTCAGGGTGACCTTGAACTGCAGCTGTTCTTTGGCTTTTGCTTTATTTTCCTTTCCGGGTACTGCTTGAACTGTCTCAGTAGCATGATTAGTGTACGTCTTCTCACCTTCGCCTATTGTCCGAGCCGTCGTGTTACATCCCTTTTTGATGGCACCTTTCACTTACATTGCTGTTAAACGTTGAAACAGTCTACTGCTGCTCTTGAAGGGGCTCACCAAACTTTGCGTTAAAACTACCTACTTCCCTTGGGACTAGCTTCTCCTCCACTCCTGGCAAACAGTCCAGCTGGTGTCCATTTGTAACTTGGCGTGTGCGTCCATTAGAGTTGACTGCCTTCCAAAGTTGTCTGTCTGCACTATATTTGTGACCTTTGGATTTCATTGACGAGAAAGAAACAGTAAACTATGCCAACCCATTGACAATATTTTCACAGTACATCTTGTCTAATTCAATTACTTATGTAAGTTAGGCTGATGCTGCGAACGAACTGCTCCACAATAGCTGGTAAAATTATCCACGCCCACCTGTCACCTGTTGTCAGCAGCTTTCCTGCCAAAACATGGCTGCATCGCATCCCGTTATGACTGTCGCTTATTCATTTATTATTACTGTTTTTCAGGTCTTCAATGTATTTGTGCTCGGCCTTGTCTTCCTCCCCATTTCCGTGTACTGATTCAACTGACTCCTTACTATGAGTAGAATTAAGCCTCTCGCATCTGCGTCTAGTTTACCAACCTGCTTGTTACCTCCCTCTCCTCTAGCAAATTTCATTTACCTTGTTGTTAAGCATCGCTACAGTCTGCTGCCTCTCCTGCTGTTTCACTCCCATCTTTGTGAAATTTAAATCAATAGATAAATAACTAAGGTATCTTCGAAGTTATCAAAGCGCGCCAACTCAGGCATGGTTAAAATTTAAAGGCGATTATGTTGCGCTGTACATACGTTACAATGCGCGTTACTGGCTGTGGACAAACGTTGTACAAGTAAAAGAAACGGAAGAAGTATTCATGAGGAGCCGAAACGTTAGGGTTGTGACGAGGAACTGGATTCACGCGATCGTAAACAGGAAAAGCAGAGTAGGTAAGTTGAAGTTAGTATGCGAAGACTGAGAGTATATTTTTTGATGAGGCAACATCTAGTGAAGATTTCTCTAGTCAATATGCCAAAGTGATTGTGGACAGTGACTTTACACAGTAGCCGTTCACAACCGCCACGTTGCAGTGTTGATACACGAGCATTTGTGGCCTATTGTAAGGAGGAAGCTTGCCAGGCCAAACCACACCAATTTCTGAAACACTGTGGTTCATTGATTTAAACGGTCAGATACGACTGGCAAAGCCTCTTTTCAACCTTAAGTTCACAGTTAACCGCAGTCAAATGATCCCTCTGTTAGCTGCTCGGAAAGCTGTCAGGGCCTGCCAGAGAGGTTGAGGGCAGTCCAGCAGGGTGAATTATTGTGCAAGTAAGCTAACTTTCCGGAGCATCAAGGGTATCACTTCCTCTAATATTTTATGCATGCTGGTACGTGAGAAATTCGTGTCCGGCTATATTCACTGGAAATCAGTGGTTGTGTTGGGTGCAGTTGGTCGGTTTTGGTACTAGGTCATGGTCCTGGTGAGTCCTTGATGGTTATTCTTTCCCAGCTCGGTTGAAGGTAGTTCCTCATTCAACACTCGCATCTTTATAATAACCTTGACCACGGAGAACTGGGATTTAGAGAAAAAGTTTGAGAGAAGGTCAAAAAAGACAATCCAGGAACCAAACAGTGTGAAAAGGCTACTTTAAGGCGTTGAGACTTTAGAATGAAGGATGTACAATGTGCAGAATGTAGTAAGCGGAAAATGCTGCTTGCTTATGCAAAAATGCATGGCTTAATAGGTAACGTACTATGATGTGCATGAGGATCTATCACGTGGTTCCGCTAATCAGTCAACTAGGTATTAGTTCAAGGAAATGGGACTAATGTGTGAGAGGAGAGAAGACGGTTTACAAACCTGTGGCGAGCGGTTGGTGAATAAACAGCAGAAAGTCAAGTTATGTACCAGTACTTAGAGAAAATAATGACGTATCGTTGTTGTAATAGCTTAGGTGATTATTTAAAAGTATTAGGGGTATTTAAAAGTTTATTGTGTAGGTACGTCGCAATTAGACCCAGGCAGACAGCCACCACACATTCAGGAAAACGTTAGAACGCCGCTTCGCCCTATTGGGACTCGTCAGTAGCGCGCACCCGCTGAATCCTGCCGGATTCGAATCCACGACCTTATTGTTGTGAGTCAGCGACTAATGTCACTGGGCCGTGGGCGACGGCAGCGGACCACCTTGAATGATATCTTACGGCGAGATAGTGCGGCTCATCCTCCAATGTCTTGCATATCATGTGCAGAGCACAGGCCTGACCTCCAGAGTCAAAACTTCCTGGGCAAGTCACCACCAATCGAGGTGGTATGTAAGATGCGAATGCAAGTACTGATTAGTTGTAAGCAGGAGGTGATATTTTTAGGTTTTTGTGTAGATTCATCAAAGTTAGACACAGGTAGACAGCCACCACACATCCAGGGAAGCGCTAAACGGCCGGTTCATCCTATTGGGATTGGTCAGTAGCGCGCATTCGCTGAATCCTGCCGGATTCGAACCTATGCATCTTCACAAAATCTTAATAAATCCCCTGCTGCTTACAAATAATCAGTACTCTCCCTAGCAGCTTACATGCCACCTCGATTGGTGGCGGCTTGCCAAGGAAGTCTTTGCTCTGGGGGACAGCCCTATCCTCTGCACCTAACCTGCAAGACAGTGGAGGATGAGCCGCGCTATATCGAAGTTAGATATCAGTCATGGCGGTCCGCTGTCGTCGCCCATGGCCCAGTGACATTAGTTGCTGACTCACAACAGTAAGCTTGTGGGATCAAATCCGGCAGGGTTCGGCGGGTGCGCGCTACTGACGAGTCCCAATACGACGAAATAGCCTCCTAGCGCTTTCCTGGATGTGTGTTGGCCGTCTGCCTCTGTCTGACTGCGACGAAACTATACAGAAAGCTTAGGTGCTCCAATGTAATGTGCATTGCTACGAAGTCAAAAGTAAGCCAGATGGACGCATGTAACAGTGAAGAGCTGGATCAAATACATAGCGGAAGCTGCTTGTCGTTGAGAAACTAAGAAAACATAGACTGCCTAGGATTCAGTTAAGTAAAAGAGGGTAATAGTGAACGTAGAAGCAAAATAGCTGAAGGGGAGGTTGCGTTGTGGGACATGCTGTACGTTGAACCCACCATTGTGGAATAGGGTGGCGCATTGGCTCTTCAGTAGATAAAGTGAACTCCTCGAATGCGAACTTCTACAGTTTCAAAAGGAAGCCATATGGACGCAAAGAACAGGTAGTGTAGGAACTGAATTAACTAGTTAGGACAAACTGCCCTTTGTTTAGAGATTCAGTGAACATAGGCGGCCGAGCAGTCACTTATGTTTTCTCTTCATTTCCGTCTACCTGTTCAACTGGCCCAACTGCATGACTGGACGTAAGCGTCCAATAGACTTGTCTGTCATATGACGCTGACCTTTACAACGATTATGTGACCTGTGACCTTCTTTGAAACGAAAGCAGTAGTACACTACGCCTATCCAGTGACCATCTTTGTACAGTTCTTCCACGTCCAGGCAGATTATTACCAACTTAAGACAGTTATCTGAGCCTGCTCTACATCACGTAGCTTAAGTAGTCGGCCATTTTCTGTCCGCGAAGCGCTTCATGTAACTGGATAATTTCCCTGATCATCTCTTCAAGTTTTAGCCTTACTTAACCGTCCGCTTCATTGTTATCTTTGGTTCCCCTCTCAGGTAGCTTAACATTATAACTCAACACATGTTTTCAGCGTGTTTTTCACATTTTAGCTTGTCGGTCTTTGTAACAACACCACGGTGAAGGTTGCTGTATGTATTTCTCTCGTGATCTAAACTCAATCCACTAAACATGTCTCCAAATGCTCAGTGCTGCTGTAATTTAATTCAGCTTGTCATGCTTGCTTTTGATGAACACCGGCGGACTGCTTTTTAAGCGTCTCAAGGCTATTAATTGCATTACTGTACTCAACGTACCTCCCATCTAATGTTTCGGCTTTTCACCTGGTGTTTGCACTTGCCTTACCTTATGGACGTCAACTTTTCGCTTACTTCTTCCAGTACCAATCTGACTTCATCTCAGTTAACGACGCCTAAGGATCTTACAGCCTTAGTCTTGTGTTTTGTCTCTCCTTTTTGATGGATCTCAGGTTACGGAAGTATGGGCGCTTCAGCGTCATCAGTACCACTACCTATTTAACCCATCTGTGTTTGCATGCGTGCGCTGCTTACCAAATCTTTGTATTTTTCTCTCCTCTTGGAACGAGGTTGTATGAACTGACAGTCCCATGCTTTGCATCGCATTCCAGTGGGCCTTGGCTTCTTCCATGCTGCCAAGCGCTTTCTGATGGCATTTATTATGGCTTATGAGCCCGTCCTTCACTGGTTCACCTATGCACATTTTTAATACCCCTACTTTTCTTTGAACGTTTTAAACATATTTATCCCTCTTTGGACAGCGGGCACTGCAGCACTTTCCTACGCTGTGGCTTTGGTCTACGCTACACCTGAGGTATAATGTAAAAAGGCACCTGTAACTCCTACGTACTACAAAAAGTTACCCAGTAACATGTGGCTAATTACCGCTGCAAACCCGCAGTAATTTTACAAGGTTTAACCATGCGATCCAGTCTGTATGCTTTCTTGATTGCCTCCTGTTAGTTGCTCGTTTTCCTGAGCTATCCAAAGGTATGTCGGGCGACGTGGAATCCTTTATTATCCAGCAGCGGAGTATCCAGCCTCAACGACCAGCTGATTTGAAACAACTGGTACATTCTCTGTGATTTCAAGTGCAAAGCACTCTTATGTGGATTTCTCCTAGATTCTAAATGGATATTCATCACGTTATTTTTGTGAGATACTACTTGTACTGGGTCTAAACAAGTGGGTTAAGCTCGCATGGCAATTACGTTGCCATCACTTACCCGGCACTGTGTCTTTACATGGATCCCTTGTCCCTCTATACATGACAGAATATCCTATGGCGGTAATCTTGTAATGACTTGGTTAGCCTCGCTGCATCCACCTGGTTTTCAAGCAATTGGGCTCGGCGTTTTTTATTACTGCAGGAATCTATTTGTATCCTACGTACCCGGAACTTTCCTGACGTCAAATCTTGGCGCGGATTCTTGGGCATTAAGACAACTTACAGCAGACAATAACTTACCTATGGAGGAGCACTGGCCCCATGCTGTGGACAGCATAGTTTTCTACGTTGCGATGCACTAAAATATTAAGAGCATGAGGGAGGTCCGTTGTTAACTCCATCGGTTCCGAATCATCACAAGGTAGAGGTTTGTTGTCTTTAAGTGTCACTACGTTGGCGATCGTCAACTATAAAGTAGGAGCAGCAAGGTCTTTCCGTGCGCGTTAAATGGGTGCCTAACAATTGCTTGAATCGTTCCTCCCTCTGCTGCTCAATGACGTGTTTTGGGTAGATCGTTGCAATTATTCATCACTTAGGAATATAAAGCAGCTTGCGGACGGGCGCGAACTGTCCTCGCATTAAAAAATTTTAATTTGTGGCCACGTAATAAGCGGGCTTAACTGAGATGGAGTAATTGCTGCGGCTTACTTCTTAGCTCTTCTCTTGGGATGCGTCGGTTGTAGAGATGATCTATGCTACGTCGGCGATCTTCCAAGGAGAACAGATTCAAAGACCTAAGCCGAGGAGTGTAGGGGGTCCCTAATGTTCAATATAGATGTAAACCGCGCCACTGCACTTTCTTTCCCAGATCATATGCAGAGTAGTTTACGGGGTTAGTGACCGAGAGACCATATTCTAGGGTTGGACGGACATGCGAAGCGGAAAGGTTTCTGAAATCTCCGGATAATTTTGCAGGACGAGCCTCAAGGGTCCGGAGTATTCACTTAACTGCCGCGACCTTCTGATGCTTGTGAAGTGATAGCTTGAGTTCCTGCTAGCCGATGACCAGCCCTTTCTCATGTGTGACAGACTTGAAAAGATAAACACTGTTAAACACCAACAGTGATCCCGTTAACGGAATTTTACGAGCACAACGGCGTATAAACCAACCCTAACCCGTTCATTCAAGCGAGTTTATTAAACATTCTACCAGGTATCAACGTCGACTATTTTTGGAAATCCATCTACGAAACTATTCAAATCACCCGGTTAAACTTCCACAATGAAAGCACTTACAGATTTTGTCTGACTTCCGCGCTAGTTATCTATCTATCTCCAGTGAACATGTTCATCAGCCTAGCAAATCTCCCATATGACAACTACGCACCAGTTTTTGAACGGCGTATTTTGCGAAAACTTACCTCCTTCTTTTGGTGTATATACGCTTATATTGTTTTTGATGCTCTGGTGACCAAGTATCCAAGCATGTACTGGTGTGACTCGCTCAATCAAGAATAAACTATTAATTTCCTATACCTATTGTACCCACCTGAGCATACCTTTTAAGGTGTGCCTCACCCCGTCGAGAATAAAGCAGTTATTTATTATTTTTAATGCTACACACCGGAAAGATCCGGGCCACCAATCCGGGGTGCGTTGCACATTTGTCACGGCTTTAAAGAAACGCCACGCAACGGACCATTTATTCAGCTGGTCAAACGAATAATGGTGTCTGCCGGCATCCCTGGGAAAACATATCTCAGACCAAAGTTTAAAGGCATTAGCGTAGGCTAGAAAGTCGTTTTGTAGCATCGCAGGAAGAGCCGTGGTGTCTAGTGTAAAGAGCACTGTACAAAAGACGGAGTCTTGTAGCCCCGCCGGCCCTAAACACAGGGACAGAGGACGGTTTGTTCACCTGCATGTGAATTATTGTTGCTTCCATGAAATGAACGCTAGGACAGAAGGTTTCTGGTGACACCAACTTCCTGGATTTTGCGCAGAAGCCGCTTGTGTGGCGCTTTTGCAAATGCCTCGCGGGCATCAAAGTAGAAGACAGCAAGATGTCTCCTCTCGTCCTTTGCTTCAGCCAATGTTCGCTGGCATCACACAGGTTAGCGATAGATGATCCTGCACTGCGGAATCCGTGTTGTAACAAGATGTTTACGCTTTGGCCTTCCAAGAGAGCGTTGTTGGCGCGCTTGACTATGCTCCGTATGGTTCTGCACACAGCAGACGTCAGATATATCGGTTGGTGGATCGCTGGGTCCGGCCGGTCATCTACTTTGTACTTAAGCATCACCATGCCTGCTTTCCAAGCGCTAGGAAAGCGGCCCTCAACAAGTGAGAGCCGGACAACTTAGGACATTGGTTCCGCGATGTACACGGCAAACCTCTCGAGGAATAGTAGGTTTAGTCCGCCTAGGCCTGGTGCGTTGTAACAATTCAGCGCACGGTATAGCCGCATGACCATCTCAACACTAAATTTAGTTTGCTTCGGGGTTGGGGCGCATGTGGGCCGGTCGACTTGTGTAACGGTGGCTCAACCGGGTAGAGAGCTGAGTGTTGCAAGGCCAGTAGATTGACCTTCTCGTTATCCTGCTGTTGTACAGCCTTTCTGCAGATGTCAGACAACGAAGAGTCCCTAACTCCCGTGTTGACATTTCGTCTTACGTATGAGAAGAGCTCCTTTGAGCACGCTCTTGCTCGAAGTTTTAGGTATTTTTCTTACTGAGATTGCTTGTACAGCTTTTTTGGTGTCTACAAGTTTCATACTCTTTGTACTCAAGTTAAAACAAGGCTAGTTGTACTCTTGAATAGGGTCCAGCGTTTACTTCGCCTGCTCAGTACGCAGCACAGTTTCCGGTCGATCCAGAGGGTCCCTGCTCAGAGCGCAGTGCCCCAGGGTTCAGTAATTAGACCGTAGTTTTTCATGTTTATACCTAAGTTAGCTACACTCTTCGAGAACCCTTGTTATAAGTTTGCGGACGACGTAAGGGTTGTCAGTAATGGCACTAGGGATACGTTGTCTAAAGACCTGGGCACGGGGGAAAATTGGTCTGCAACAATAGATGTGCCATGGAAAGTGAATAAAGGTCAACTGTTTTCATCCAGCAACTTTGGAATGACGGGACAAACCTCTACAGAGTACATTACATTGCAGTGTCTAGGTAAGGCTAGGGACTTCGGCATCGTCATGATAGATAGTTTCATGCCCGCGGTACAGTGCCAATATGCTTCTAACAAAACGCGACAGAAACTTTTCGTCTCAGGGGAGTTTTGTGCAATAATAAAGCGGAAGCTTCCGCCCACTGTACAAAGCGGTATGTTGGCAGCACAGGGTATGGCGCTGAGGCTTAGGCACCTTACTTTCAAAAGGACGTCGCTTGTTTAGAAAAGGTACAAAGACTAGACACCACAATGATTGAAGGCCAGCATGAGAATTCGTGATACCCGCATGGAAAATTTGGGCTGGTTCGCAGTGGAACGACGTAGAATAAGGTAAAGTTGCTGGAACCGTTTAATATTATGAAGGGTTTCAATAGCATTAAGCCCTTTAAAAATAACTAACTCGGGCCACCTGCGGGGCCACCATATGGGGTTCAAGGCGCATAGGTCCAGCCTGACTATTCAAGCAAAATGTTCTACGACCCGCCTTGTAGTTAATTGTAATTTACTTCCTCCTGCACTCCAACCTTCCGTGCCTGCCGCAGCGTGTAATATTGATGAATCCCTTCGTCAACCGTTACGACCGTCTACTCCGCAGTCATTGATAGTAAGGCGTAGTGTCAACAAAATGAGACTACTGGGTGGTCGCTTTGACCAAATGGTTGGAGGGTCACCAAGTCACATATGTTAGAGGGCATCGGAATGAAAAGCAGATAGGAGTTTTGTTGTCTGGCCCGGGAGCATCCGCCTTGGTGTCATGCTGTGCCGAATTAAATTACATGCCTGAACAGTGTGAAGCAGCTCCCTCTCGAAGGACCTTGCGTAGGATTTCAACGAGAAAAGTCCTAATTGTTGCTGAGTGCATTGATGTTCCCCATTAGCGGATAGCTTTTGCCTCTGCCATTGGTTCCGGTAGAGTACGAGGAAAAAGCGCTTAGGCCTAAGGACCACTG